TGTGAAACTGTGTGACAATCCCTCCATATATCAGATTTAATACATGTCTTCAACCATGAATGGAGTCTCTGGTATATGCATGACTGAATACTGTGCAATCTTGAGATTGCTTTACATCTATTCTCCTATCATGGCTTAGAAAGGCATGACTTAGTTGTTCCTAGTATTTATAAAGTGTGGCTTTATTTTTTTTCTTCCCACTATGTCTGTTGGCTGGCTTAGGCTGTCAATCATATTACACAACCGGTGCAGCAAATTATCATTCTCTCCTGAGCAAGATTTTAACTCTTGGTTGGATTGCTTACCATGTAGCTTTCACATTTCTGGCAAAGAACTGGGTTTGAAAGGTCCATCACATGAAAGTTATGTGGGCTGCATATAGGTGTGCGATCAACAGAAGCTGTAAAGACCCAATGCCAGTATGGAATACCCTCCTTATTTATATCTGTACAGCCCTGCTATTGTTAAATGTGTATGACATTGTATTTAGTTATGTTGTGTAAAGGAACACTATAGCGTTAGGAATAGAAATCTGTATTTGCTATAGAGCCATAGTCATCATTTAGGTGACTATATGGCCCCGTTCCGTGGCAAATAAATGGTTCATTCCCTCGGCACTGGTTACCTCTCCTCCCTCATCGACGTCAGCTTCTGAGTGGAGCTGAATGGTCATGCATGGCCAGAGGCGCGAGCGTGCATTCAAACCCGCCCATTGGAAAGCATTACTCAATGCTTTCCTATGCAGATCTTTTTTGACGCTGGACTCTGTGAGAACGTCCAGCATCAAATAGGTGCGATTTACTCTGTGTAAATTGCGGAAGCGGCCTCTAATGGCTGTCAGGGAGACAACCACCAGAGGCTGGATTAACCCTGCAGTGCACACATAGGAGTTTCTGAGAAACTGCAATGTTTTCAGCTGCAGGGTTAAAACTAGGAGGACCTGGCACCCGGACCACTTAATTGAGCTGAAGTGGTCTGGGGTCCTATAGTGGTCCTTTAAAGGGCAACTAAATAGGTAGGGGAACACTATAGGGTTAAAAATACATGTTTGTATTCCCAACTCTAGTGTTCCTTTTAAGTGTATATGTATGGCATCAAGAAAGCTTGATCTGTCTTCTAAAAAAATAATATAAAGGTTTCTTTAGGTGAACCTTATGGCCATAGCATTAAAGAGGCAATTTAAGCACTGCAACCAGTCAGCTGACTGGCTCAGTCAATCTTCATTGTACTAATATGGATAAATCTGGTATTGATAACGTGGATGTGGAACCCACACCAAGATTGTACTGCAGCATTTTAATAGTAAGTGTACTGGAGGCTTAGCACTGAGAAAAGGCAGTGTTTACATTGCTGCCTAGTAAAACCTCAAGGTGCCATCACTCAGAGAGGTACTAGAGGTGCTTCCTATGTCATTGCTGCATGGTGGCATTTAATGCTCCCCGTAGAGATGCATTAATTCAATGTATCTCTATGGAAAAAATGCTGATTGGTGCAACATTTTGCCGTGCTTGCGCAATAGCCTACCAATGCTTTCCCTGGGATTCGTTTAATCCATGGAGGCGTGGCCAGTCATGGTGAGATCAGCATAGCGATTGAGAAAAGGTAACATTAAATACCTTCTTTTTTTTTTTAAATGTTTTAATTTTTTTTTATTTTAAATCTGTAGTTTTAGAGTGCAGTGGACCTAAACTGGTACTCCAGCACTATAGTGTTATGAAGTTTTCTTTAAGCAGCCAATTCAGTTCATGTATTCATAATTTCCAAATAAATTAAAAACTTATCCATACCGACTAGCATAGTGAGGAGCGTGTTTTAGATCGAAATAAAAGCAAAGTATTAAAGCCAAGTGTGCTTTTATTAACCCCTTAAGGACACATGACACGTGTGACATGTCATGATTCCCTTTTATTCCAGAAGTTTGGTCCTTAAGGGGTTAAAGGACCACTATAGCCACCCAGACCACTTCAGCTTAATGACGTGGTCTGGGTGCCAGGTCCAGCTAGGGTTAACCCTTTTTTCTATAAACCTAACCGTTTCAGAAAAACTGCTATGTTTATAACTGGGTTAATCCAGCCTCTAGTGGCTGTTTCTTGACAGCTGCTAGAGGCGCTTGCGTGCTTCTCACTGTAATTTTTCACAGTGAGAAGACGCCAGCGTCCATAAGAAAGCATTGCGCATTCAGCCAAAGAGGGGGAGAGGAGGAAGAGGAGAGCTCCCTGCCCGTCGCTGGAAAAAGAGGTAAGTTTAACCCCTTCCTCACCCCAGAGCCTGGTGGGAGGGGGTCCCTGATGGTGTGGGCACCCTCAGGGCACTATATGGCCAGGAAAACAAGTGTTTTCCTGGCACTATAGTGGTCCTTTAATTGGATGTTGGGACAATTGCCTGACAGTCGAGGCAGTCAATCTGTCAATCACATTGATCCTACTCATGTGACTGCAGTGGTTTGGATTGGTGTGATTGGCTGCAGGGGGACATCCTTGCTTGTCAGGCAGTCCCCCTGCTTGGATCTGGCGAGAAGGATAAGAGTACATGCTGGAGGGAGAGCCTGATTGTTGGGGCTTGCTATGTAGCTCCTTTTATAGGACCACATAGCACATCCTAATGAGGAAAAGGTGAAGAACCAATTAATATGGAAAAACATAGGGTGTCTTTTGTATCACCCAGAATAGCACCTATTATATTATAATTACTATTATATTAAGTGTATCTGTAACACAGCTTATGTACTGATTACTAAGACCTCTATTAATGGCTAGTTTTGTAACCATTCTTCGGTTTCCTGTATGTATGTATGTATAATTTTATTTTATTTTTTATTCTTTTTTTTAAAATCCCATTCTTTGGACCTAGGCTCATGAACTATTGGAATTACATTGATACTTTGAACAAATTTGCCTTCCACAACGCACTTTTAATTCTCTGTAGATATGTAACTTTGTGTGGAAATATAAATATTAGAGCAGTGGTTCCCAACCTTTTTTTTTTTCACTTGAGTAGCCCTTGGCAGCCCATTCATTTCCATAAATTGTACCCCTCACAAAATGTTGTAATTAATATAGTTGCATTTATTTCAAATGTATACATTTCTCTCTGCTCAATCTCCCCTTTTTCTTTGCCCTAGGCTGCCCCAGACTCTTCCTGCTTCTCCTCCGCCCCAGACTCTTCCTGCTTCTCCTCCGCCCCAGATATGCACCCGCAGATATGCGCACAGACACAGATACAATGATACAAAAATACATATCCTGACACACAGATACATATACCGACAAACCTGCAGATACAGACACTTGTATACATACCCTGACACACATTATTATGTTATTATTTATATAGCGCCAAAAAAATTTCGCAGCACTTTACAGTGGGTGGACTAACAAACATGTAGTTGTAACCAGACAAGTTTGAAACACAGGAACAGAGGGGTTGAGGGCCTTGCTCAGTGAGCTTACATGCCAAAGGTAGTGGGGTAAAGTGACACAAAAGGTATTATTATTATTATTACGATATTTATAGAGCGCCGTCAAATTCCGCAGCGCTTTACAATGGGTGGACAAACAGACATGTAGTTGTAACCAGACAAGTTGGACACACAGGAACAGAGGGGTTGAGGGCCCTCCTTAATGAGCTTACACGCTAGAGGGAGTGGGGTAAAATTACACAAAAAGGTAAGGATAGTATTAGACTAATGACAGTTGCAAGAGAGGAGTTGGGAGCTATTAACAGTTTAATTGATACTTTTTATGAAAAAGTGGGTTTTTAATGACTTTTTTTTTTTGAATGAGTGGAGACTGGGTGAGCATCTAATGGAGATAAGTGAGTTCCACAAGAATGGTCCAGCCCTCGAGAAGTCTTGAAGGCGAGCATCAGAGGTGGGTGTACGGACAGAAGATAGACTTAAGTCTTCAGCAGAGCGTAAGGGCCTAGACTGGACATACTTGTGTATAAGGGAGAATAGATAGGTGGGAGCAGCATTATGTAGAGATTTGAAAGCAAGATCCAGAATTTTAAATTGAGCCCTATATCTTACAGGAAGCCAATGTAGGGACTGACAGAAGGGTGAGGAGTGGGCGGTGCGAGCGGACAGGAAGATGAGCCTCGCCGCCGCATTCATTATGGACTGTACCTGTGTAAGTTGGGAGCACGTAAGACCACTGAGAAGCGGATTACAGTAGTCCGGACGAGAAAGGACAGTGGAATGGACCAACACCTTAGTCGCATCTGGCGTTAAGTAGGGTTGGATGAGCGCAATGTTTTTGAGATGGAAGTGGCAGGTTTTGGCGATAGACTGAACATGAGGTGTAAAGGAGAGGTCGGAGTCAAAGAGAACACCTAGGCAGCTTTTGTTGATCAACAGTGTCAAAAGCCACAAAAAGGTCAAGGAGAATTCGAGTAGTGACCACGAGATTTTGCTGCGAGTAGATCATTGGATACTTTGGCCAGTACCGTTTCTACAGAGTGCTTAGCGCGGAAAGCAGACTGAAGCGGGTCTAGCAGAGAATTGGACTTGAGTCTGTCAATCTCGCATACACATCTCTTTCAAGGATCTTGGATGCAAAAGGCAGTAGCGAGATAGGACGGTAGTTGGATGGGGAGTTAGGGTCAAGGTTGGGCTTCTTTAGAATTGGGTTTACAGTTGTATGCTTGAAGGGTGATGGAAATATACCAGAGGAGAGAAAGAGATTGAGAATTTTAGTGAGAGGTAGAGAAATAGAAGACAGAGTACAGATGAGATGCGAGGGCATTGGATCTAGGGAGCAGGTGGTGGGGCAGGAGGACTGGATCAGAGCAGAAACCACTTCCACTGTAGCAGTTGCGAATGAACATAGAACAGCAGAGGGAGTGAGGTTAGGGAAGTATTGTAAGGGGAAGAAGAAAGATGAGAAATCTCTTCCCTGAATGTAGAGATCTTGTCAGTGACGTGAGTTGCAAAGTCTGAGGCGGTCAAGTTGGTAGGTGAAGAAGAGCGTAAAATGTGTGAAATAGTAATTTCGGTTCGCGGGAGAGTGTGGTTATGAGGCTATTGAAGTAATTTTTGCAAAGGAAGGAGCCAGGCTGTATGAGCGCAGCATAAACTTATATTGGAGAAAGTCAGCCGCACAGTGAGACTTTCTCCAACAGCGTTCAGCAGTTATGGAGCATTTTTGGAGATACTGAGTCAGCTTGGTGTGCCAAGGTTGTTGTTGGGGGTGCTTGCTGCGTTTAAATGTAGGAGGTGCCATGAAGCCTAGTTGAGAGGAGAGGGTGGAATTGTAGAAGGAGGCTGCAGAACTAGGACAGGTGAGGTTTGAGATGGGTAAAAGGAGAGTTTGGAGATTAGTGGAGAAATGCTCTTGGTCAAGACATTGGAGGTTTCTGTGAGATTGATGTTCAAACGGTGGTGTCAATTGGGTCTTGGGTATGCCAAATTTGCATTTGTCTCTTGCTGCTCTGGGCAGACATATATTCCTGGCAGAGGACAAAATTCCTAGTCGCCATGGTGACCTGGGATTTGTCGAGCCCTGAGATATATACACACACACCATGACACACTGACATACAGATGCACTGACACACACGGACGCACAGGTATCGTTCAATGCTCATGGTGGAATTGCCCTAAATTGAAAAACTTTTGGAGAGATGTTCTCACATTGGTCCGGGTAGTAAATCCTTTTGGAGAGATGTCCTTATTTGGGTCTATTTAAACTTTACCCTAGTGGATTTAATAAGCCAGGTAGGATTGAAATTCTTAAAATTCTGATTGCTGTAGGATCTGTTTTGCTGAGATATTGGAACACTGTTGATGATCCACCAAAAAAAAAAAAAAATTATTGCAAAGGTATTAGAAAATAAAGGATACAAATTGGCCTCTAGGATAACCTCTTCAATATATGCTTTGCTAGTACATACTTGGGACACATGGGTCCAAGGTATAAAGAGAAATACCAAATGGAGTAATGTTTCAAACCATTTTCTTCTGCTCACTATTCCAAATGATATAAGATTTTTTAGGTCACTTTCTATATATCGTTAGCTGTTGTATAACAGCTGTTCAATGTTAGAAAAAGTCATAGTTGTGCATAATCTGTACTCATTACTTTTCCTTAGTTTGCTACTCTCCCCTTCCTTTTACCTTTTCGTATTTCCCCTTTGTTGTAGTTTTAAAATGTATATTATGTAATGTTTAAAAAAATTGTTAAATATAAATAATTATAAAATAATGTTATTGGTAGCAGCAGCATATTTTATTTTTCTGTTTAATTTGCTTCAGCAAAATCAAGGTTTTAGATATCTCATAATCTCTCGAACTCTTTCTACATTTCTATTTTATTTTTCTGTGTTGACTCTTTACCATAAATTTATGACACGAAAATTATAGGCTTGCTTAAAATTAAAATGTATTGCCTGTGCTTTCAAGGTTGAAACTCCAAATCATTTTATGAAAAGGACATTTTGTGATCACTTCTGCCTGGTGTACCAATGATGTGAGATGATGGAATTTTTCCAGACAGTTGTAGCAAGTAAGATTCCTACTACTGGATCCCATGAATATATTAAACAGCCACATTTCCTTCTTGAGTTGTGTTTGGTTAATAAAACTCAGAAGTGGAATTTTAATAAGGCTTGGTTATTAAGCGCTAAAGTACCATTATTTAAACTTTTAGAACCTGCATTATGTAGTAACTTGCATGAACAACTGATAGGGGAAATTAGCTTCGTGTGGATATTTCATATCTAAGGTTTTAAGAGAATATAAATATTCTAAAACCAGCGTTGGATGTCAATATGTACCATGTTAAAGTAAATAAAGTATAAGGGCTATTTTACTGTTTTTATGGGTAACTATTCTAGATTACAGTATCAGAAATTTGATCTTTTGTCCTTTCTACATAACTAGAATGTTAGCTGAGGTCAGCCAGCCATACTCTTGCCTTTTCCCCATAAATCATGTTTAAGAGGGCTTAAAGCAGCACTGTCACTTGGAGGGTCATTGCATTTTTACTGCATGACTCCTTCATTGGGCAGATATTGCAGAAGTTCACTTTTGAATTTTCTGAGGAGCTTTAAAGGAGGTGAGCTGAAAGCATTCATTTTTACTTTTCATTATATTGAGCTTTAGCAGTTTTCATACTTGGCGTACTTACGTAAAGTACATTTTTTTGCACTTTATTTTAATCTTTATTGGGACAAGGCTAGCTCAAGTGCTGTTATCATTGTGTATTGGTTGTGGGTATTCCAAGGAGTTTTTGAACAATGCAAAAGGTTTATAAGAGGTTACTGATTAGAACATTCTCTCTGCAAGTCACCAATTTCAGGCCCTAGGAAAACACTGCCATTTACATTGATAAAGAGATTACAAGTGTAGTAATCACAAGATTGCATCGCCCTATGGACTTAACAAGAGTGCTGAAGTTAATGAGTAAATACTAACCTGGTCTGCTGAATGCAGAGAATTTTTTAAAATTAATTTTTAACCCCTTAAGGACCAAACTTCTGGAATAAAAGGGAATCATGACATGTCACACATGTCGTGTCCTTAAGGGGTTAAATAAATGTTGGTTGCATCTTTATTCAAGACAATTGGTCAACTAGTATCTTCAAAAGAGCAATATAGGCTAAAAAAGTCTTAATTTCTTTAATATTGCATTATTGGTATTGTAAAACTGTCTGTCATATCTGACTTCTGCTTACCAGAAGGAAATGGGTAGACAATTACATTTGTTCATTATTTTGTTTTTCTTTCAGTAAACAAAATGCATCATCTTGGGGGAATTTACAGATTAGATGATGTATCCTACCCTTGATTTCTAAACATCTTTCAGCACGGAGCTATTTTGTCAAGAAATCACAATTTAAAGTGAAACTGTTATATTGACAATTCACCAATTACATAATAAGACTTGTACATGGTATTGAGGTTTTTAAAAATGTATCCAGTAGTTGCTTTGTTTAAAAGTACATGGTTAATACCCAACATTTAAGGGGTGAAAGTAGGAACAATTGGGTCCCAGGCGAAATAATGGCAGGTCCCCTATTGTATCCTCTCCTGGCTACCCCCTAAGTAATACACCTGAGCTGATTTGTAATTATGTGGGGTCTGACTGAGTGTGATCTGTTTGTATACAATATATAAAAAAATTCTCATTCTCTGTGTGCTTACAAATCACTCCCTCACAAACTTTAACAGTTTATTTTGTAAGCATTAAAAATCAATATTGCAAGGGGGGGTTGGCATAGACCCCCTTTGACAGAACTCCTGGACCCACTCGCAATAGTGACTGTTACGATCCTGGTAGTTCCGCCATTGTAACTTTGGCTTTTCCTTGTGTGTGGTGGGCTGCACATAATCATCATCATCACTAACCTTAAAGAATAGTTTTTTTGTTTTCTACGCAGTATAAAATTGTGGATTACTCTACAAAACGAATATTGAATGGATTGTTATTTAATGTATAAGTAAACATTCTAGCTGTATGGTAGCCTATATTGCAGATTAATGACCTTTTTAAAAGGTTGACTCTGCAATGTAATGGTTAAAGGGACACTATAGTCACTCAGACCACTTCAGCTCAATGAAGTAGTCTGGGTGCCAGGTCCCTCAGGTTTTAAACTCTTCAGATGTAAACATAGCAGGGTCAATCCAACCTCTAGTGGCTGTCTTCCTTAGGGCACTATAGTGTCAGGAAAACCGCTTTGTTTTCCTGACACTATAGTGATCCTTTAAGGTTAATTTAGGGTAAAGCCATATGTTGTTGCCTGTCAAAGGGTATACAAGGCACTTTAATAATCTTCCTTTCAACTTTTTTGGAGCTAATAAGACCGTTCTAACGTAAGTATCTGCTGACTACAGCTATACAGCACATTACATCATATAGCAGGGAACAAGTCAAGAGTCGCTGGAACCTTTTTTGGGAGAAAGGAAATTGTGAAAAATCAGTAAAAGGATAGCTGGAAATTGTCATTCGTCCATACTCATTCGTTGCACAACACGCACATTTTGCTGTCATTCTTCACATCATTTCTGTTGGTAAGCTTGATTGTTTTTCTTTCTGTAATATTCACTTGATACAAATTTTATTTTTATTGTCTCACTTATCCTACAATAGTTGTGCATTGTCCATTCAGTCTTCTAACACTGAATTATTTTAGAGGGTAATATAAAGCTAGAATAATTGGCTAAAACTGTTTCTAAAATAAATTTGCCACTGGTCTCTGTCCCCTAAACTCTCTCAGCTATAAATGATCGTGGTCCGATGTCTGTCTGTAATCTATCATACCTAAACGAAGCCATAGTGGTCTATATTAAAGGCCCTGAAAACCGACATATCACCTGCTTAGCACCATTTGTTTTTTTTTTTTTGCCCATGAAATGTTTGATCATCAAGTGGTAATTATGGCTATGTTTTTAGTATATCTTTGCTGTACAAAAATAGTAATTTGTTTAAAATGTATTGAATTTTATTTGTCATAGAAGTATAGCATTAAAATATAATTTATAGATATTTAAAAAGAAAAAGTAAAAAAATCTTTAACCTCAAAACTTTAACTAGATCTTAAGGAACACAGGAGCTTTTTGTAGTACCGTATGTGACTGGATCCTGTCATATTTGTGACTATTAAAGTTCAATTTTTAGTAGAAATTAGCCCTTTTATAAAACTCAACCAAAATGCCTCTCCACAGAGCTAACAAAATATCAGGCACCTTGTGCTATCGTGCGCCAGCCCCCCTTCTCAATGAGCTGTACTACAGCTCGTTGGAAAGTAACTGTCACAAATGTGTATGCTTTCAGCTCTAGCATAGACTACTCAATGTAAGTCTGGGCTGGGGAAAGACGAGAGGGCTTGCAATGTCTTCAGTGTTTACAAGCTTTTTTTTTTATTATTTTAAATACCTATAAAGAAAATGTGTAGGAAAAATACATGCAAGTTTTAAAAAAATAAAATAAAAAATCAGTGGAGTGTTTGTTTAAATGTGTTTTTTTTTTTTTTTTTTTTCTCCTCCTCCTCTTCCCTTTAACTGCCTCATCACAGTCCTTTTGGAAGTAGAATCCCAAGTAGAAGGATAGAAGCAAATCCATGTGTGTCAAGTATGTGGAACACACATTTGTGAGTCACTGTACACGCAAAGTTATCTTCCACCCACATAAGTGCTTTGTCCCTGATGTACTTTGCCACTCATGATTTATCAAATGTTGGATGCTGCGCCGATAATTGAACTTTGACACTGTGGCTCACTTTTTTTT